CTTACATACATCACTATAGGAAAAACCATAGCTTTAACTATGCAGACCTTTGTTGCCAAAGTGATGTCTCTACTTTTTGAGATATTGTCTAGGTTTGTCATTGTTTTCCTCCCAAGAAGCAGGCATCTTTTAATTTCGTGGTTGCTGTCTCCATCTGCAGTGATCATGGAGCCCAGGAAAGTAAAATCTGTCACTACCTCCATATCTCTCCCTTCTATTTGCCAGGAGGCGATGGGACCAGTGGCCATGATCTTAGTTTTTTTGATGCTGAGCTTCAGACCATTTTTTTGCACTCTCCTCTTTCACCCTTATTAATTTTATGTAACTTTCCCTATCTTTCTTGCAATTTGTATCCCTTCTCTTTTCTGCTATTTCTAAGGCTTGGTTAGACAGCTGCTTTGCTTTCTTGCATTCCTTTTCTTTGGGATGGTTTTTGTTGCTGCCTCCTATATAGTGTTATGAGCCTCCATCCAGGCACTCTGTCCACCAAATCGAGTTCCTTAAATCTGTGCTTCACTTCCACTGTGTATTCATAAGGATTTGGTTTAGATTATACCTGACTAGCCCAGTAGTTTTTCCTACTTTCTTCAGTTTAAGCTTGAGTTTTGATATAAGAAGCTGATGATGAGAGCCACAATCAACTCCAGGTCTTGTTTTTGCTGACTGTATAAAACTTCTCCATCTTTGGCTGCAGAGAACATAATCAATCTGATTTCAGTATTGCCCATCTGGTGATGTCCATGTGTAGAGTCGCCTCTTGTGTTGTTGGAAAAGAGTCTTTGTGATGACCAGCTTGTTCTCTTGACAAAACTCTATTAGCCTTTGCCCTGCTTCATTTTGAACTCCAAGGCCAAACGTACCTGTTATTCCTTTTATCTCTTGACTCCCTACTTTAGCATTCCAGTCCCCTATAATGAGAAGAACATCTTTCTTTGGAGTCAATTCTAGAAGGTGTTTTAAGTCTTCATAGAATTGGTTAATTTCTGCCTCTTCTGCATCAGTGGTTGGTGCATAAACTTGGATGACTGTGATGTTGAAAGGTCTGCCTTGGATTCGTATTGAAATCATTCTATCATTTTTGAGATTATATCCCAGTACAGCTTTTCCCACTCTTTTGTTGATTATGAGGGCTACTCCATTTCTTCTGCGGGATTCTTGCCCACAATAGTAGATATGATCTGAATTGAATTCACCCATTCTCGTCCATTTTAGTTCACTGAATGGCCAGGATGTCAATTTTTATTCTTACCATCTCCTGTTTGACCAAATGCAGCTTAGCAAGGTTCACAGATCTACATTCCAGGTTCCTGTGCAGTATTTTTCTTTACAGCATTGGACTTTCTTTTTACTTCCAGGCGCGTCCACAGCTGAGCGTCCTTTTGGCTTTGGCCCAACCATTTCTTTAGCTTTGGAGCTACTTGTACTTGTCCTCCACTCTTCCTCAGTAGCATGTTGCACGCCTTCTGACCTGAGGGGCTCATTTTCTAGCGTCATATCTTTTAGCCTTTTGTTTCTGTTCATGGGGTTTTCTTGGCAAAGATACTGGAGCGGCTCATCAGTTCCTGTTCCAGGTGGATCGCGTTTAGTCAGAACTCTCCACTATGACCTGTTCGTCTTGGGTGTCCCTGCACAGCATAGTCCGTAGTTTCTCTGAATTACTCAAGCCCCTTCACCACAACAAGGCAGCAATCCATGAAGAGGTGAAAAATCATGCTAGGACTTATTTTCAGGTTAGGTCTTATTTTCGGGGAAACAGGGTAGTAGTATATGTATGACCTCTATAGCATTGTCTATTGGAATTGTTCATGTTAAACAACCTTTTACTACCATAACTCACCGTGTTCCCATTCACAGTGCCACAATTTATGCCTTCATTGCTTTTTCCTTTATGTGGTGTGGCATTTAATTAATGTTTCTGTATTCCTTTGGGTCTGCATATGTAAGCAAACAGTCTTAATTACTTACACCTCAAGGTGCAAATTTACTGATTTGATTTCAAAGTATTTTTTCTGTTTCAACAAAGAAAATGGAACCCTTTTTAAGAAAAATTCTTCTCTTATAATGTCAGCTCTCTTTGCATTGAAAACTGTTTGTTCCCTCATCTCATGCTTACATTAGTGGTATGGCAGTCTGGTTTTTCAAAGTAGAGTTGGCAGATCAGATTTGGAAAGTTGATGAACTGGTTCTCTTGGTCTGGGATTTGAGCAAGGAGTTGCATTACACTGTGTTTGATGAGCTTGGGGGATCAAATGTTTCCTGGCTGAGACACAATCCAGACAAAACAGAGTGACTGTTGGGCAGTTGGAGGAAGTAACGTGAAAGTGGGGCAAAGGTGCCTCTGTTTCGTTTGATTAACTTTTTACTGATTATAACATTCATAAATTACATGCTTGATTACATTCTTATACAAAGGTAAGTAGAAAGGAAAATCAGGTTGATTTGTAATCTATGTGGAAAGTGAAACCTTATGCTAATATTTGAAGCATAACATTTGATGCATCATTTGCTGTAAATTATGCCTTCTTTTAAATCTCAAGGCCATTTGAAAATATATGTACATGCAGAAACATTTTAGGTCCTCTTCCAGATGCAAATCTGCTCTGAGCTGTGAACTCACTTGAATGAATCACTCCCATTCTTGAACATACCTCACAGGATTCTTCTGAATATAATGTGGGAAGAATATATAGGTTGGGCAATTTCATGTGTGGAAATATTTAGCCACTTCAGGCAGCTGCCACCGAGCAGCAAACAGGCTTCTGTGAAACAATACCATTATAATCTTGCAATGGAGTGGACTGGGAAAAGCAAAAGACCCTCTACTGGTGACTCTAGGATCACACAAAATCTACCAGTAGACCAGATCCTACTGGGTATCTAAATGCGTGCGTGAAGAATCATGGAAGTTGCTATAGCTAATTGCAGCTTTTTGACATGTAAAAGGCATGTACCAGGCATTCCATTGGACACACAAATGACATGTATAGCCTGTGTTTTGTCAGCTAGCTGCAGCAGTTTCTGCAGTTCTTTCATAGGCGTAAATATCCAGTCAGATTTTGGCTGCTGTTACTTGTTCAGTTTCGTCCTCGTATTGAGCAATTCCAAGTTCTGCTGAAAGTTGCAAAGTGTCTTAAAGTTGGTTCTGTTATCCAACAAGCTAGATGGTGCAGCCCTCACACAACTGTATTATTACCTGTGCATACATATGGGAAGGCTGTGATAGAAGCTCTAATATTTCTCTTTTTTGTGTGTGTAAGTTCTACCAATGCTGAAAGATTTTAAAGGAATGCACTGAAGCACATGGTCCTCATGTTTATTTGAAGTGATCCATGGTTGGCCTCACTATCTTCTGTGTATTTTCAGTCAAGATGTTCTCTCTCTCTTGTCTAATTTTGTCATTATCTATGAAGAGTCGTGTAGTCCTCATTTTGGCAGTTTTCATTAAAGGTAAAGGTTCCCCTTGACATTTAGTCCAGTCATGTCTGACTCTAGGGCTCAGTGCTTATCCCTGTTTGTAAGCCATAGAGCGAGCCTTTGTTCAAAGACAGTTTCTGTGGTCATATGGCCAGCACATCTAGACATGAAATGCTGTTACCTTTCTACCATGGTGGTGGTACCTATTTATCTACTTCCAGTTTTACATGCTTTAGAACTGCTAGGTTGGCAGGAGCTGGGACAAGCAACGGGAGCTCACTCCGTCGCATGGATTCGATCTTAAGACTGCTGGTCTTCTGACCTTGTAGCACAGAGGCTTCTGTGGTTTAACCCGCAGCGCATCAAAATACTTTCCCTCAATTTCTTAATGTTCATCCTCTCATCCAGTTGCTAAATATCTAGGCACTTTTGGCAGTAGTTTAGTTTGTTTTCATCACATTTCATAGTCTTCAAGATTCTCTTTTATACTATTTATGTGAATGCTAGAATGTTTAGGATGGGCAAATGTGCAAATTTTGTTTTCATGTTCAAACACTGACATATTTTGGCAAGAAAAGAGAACTGAAACAAAGTTCAAAGGTGAACAAAATTTTCACCTTTAATTATTAAAATATTCCAGAAAGAGTAGATTTTATATTTCAGTAACAGGCCACTCAGAGCATAAACTGTGTCATGTATTATTTCTGAGAATGTATTATTTGTGTGAATATCCTCATTCTTTTCTTTCTTGCTTCAGTCCATGCATTAACTATTCTTTCAGCCCTGTTTGAAAAAGCTGGAACAACATGAAGGTTGTTGTTGTTTAGTCGTTAAGTCATGTCCGACTCTTCGTGACCCCATGGACCAGAGCATGCCAGGCCCTCTTGTCTTCCACTGCCTCCCGGAGTTGGGTCAAATTTATGTTGGTAGCT